ATATTAAATTTTTAAAAAAATAGATCAGAAGTGTTTTTATAGTAAAATTCAGGCCAAATTTGGCATGATTTTCAAACAGTTTAAGAGATAGTGTATACCGGTACTGGAATTTTACAATAATTAGTAATAAATATTAAAAAAAGATTCTCATTTTTATATATCAATTAATTGTATAACACCTGCATTTTATTCCGAATATAGCTGTTTACACTTGATTTAGATATTTCTCTTTCGGTTGTTTCATATCTTTTTATATAACTTTCTTGTAATAAATAAATTTCATCACCAAGAATATTTGATGTTGGATCGTTCAACTAATTACTAACTTCTGCAGATTTTAGATACCATCACTATGTCTTTGGAAGTTCTAATATTGGTACAATAATTCTGCACCAAAGCTATATATATATAGTATAAAATGTTCAATTTCATAACATTAAAATTTTAAATTTCATAAAAAAATATATTTTTTCCACCTAATTGGGTTATATCCACCGAGAATTTCATTAACAATATATAAACAATTGCTAGATGAAATGTTATAACAAAAAGTTTCTATATATATAAAATAAAACAAGACAGATTTTGACAAGAGGATCCTGTAATTTTGTTTATATCAGGATTCATTATAACAAAATCCAACCCACTAGGATTTCCACTTTCAAATACCATTTAAAAGCTTTTTTTTCATCACTAGTAATTCCTATACTATTTCAATAACAATTTCCAATAATTAATTGTTCCTCTGATTTTCCATTACTAGCAGATTTTAAGTATTGTTCGAGTGCCTTCTTTTCGTCTTTAGATATGCCTACACCATTCCGGTAACAACCTCCAACTCTTAATTGTCCATCATGATTTCCACTATCAGCAGATTTTAGATACCATTCGAATGCCTTCTTTACACCTTTGGCTATGCCTATGCTATTTTAGTAGCACTTTCCAACAATTAACTGTCCATCAGCATTTCCGCTTTTAGCAGATTTTAAGTACCGTTCGAATGCCTTCTTTTCATCATGAGGTACACCCTATGCAGGGATAGCAATTCTCTGTAGTAATTAAGACTAAATTCTATATGTGATTAAGACAAATTCTGTGATTTAATGTGATAAATTTTTTAACCAATTTCTGTGCGATTTTGTGCTATTTTATAATTTCTGTGCAATTATGTGATATTATTCTTTAATTTCTGTGTTTTGATGCATTTATCTAAATTTTTTTTAAACCGTAACTCCCTGATAAACATGCTTGTAATTTATGTTGATTTATTGCCAGAATTTCCAGCGTTGATATGAATTTGTAGTCAAGTACCGCAATATTTTAGAATTCTGTGATATTCTGTGCTATGTTTTTTAGAATTATGTGACTTTTTTAGAATTTTGTGGTATTCTGTGGTAACTAAGGTGATTTCTGTAGTTTGCTGTATTTAAGAGGAATTCTGTAGTTTGCTGTATTTAAGAGGAATTCTGCGGATTTCTGTGAATCACAGAAAATCACCGTCCCTGACCCTATGTCATTTCAGTAACAATTCCTCACGCTTAATTTTCCATTTAAATTTCCACTTTTAGCAGATATCAAACACCATTAGAATGCACTTTTTTCATCTTTAGATATGTCTGTACCATTTTGATAACAATTTCCAACACCATTCAAATACATTTCTCTCATATTTAGGAACTATGTCATTTCCGTAACAATTTCTAATATTGTATTGCTCATTAGAACTTTCGTCTTCCACATCCTTATTATAAATAAATTTGAACTAGATTTTCGTCGTTTATTTGGTTTCAAGTTTGTCTATTTGGTATCAAATACAATTAATTCGACGTAATGTTGATGACACAATTGGTCATATAAGCCAAGTTCTACCTTTAAATTGGACTTCGCTTAACTTTGTTCAAAAGATATGGTGTCAGTATGCAAAACCTTTCTTGAAGGTCATTCTGCACAGGAACCCATATTTTTACGAGGTCTACCTTTTGGCATTGAATTTTCGCCTATTTTTGGATCTTGAAAGCTAAGCTTCCAAAAATTTTTTCATAGTATTGTATAATATAGTATTTTAAAAATCGGCCAATCAACCATGCAATGAATTGAACCTAGGTGGTGCGTGAAAAATATCAAGGCAAAAAATATCGATTTATATCGATTTACATCAAAATTGTATCAGCGGATTTGTGGAATTTGATAAATAGAAAAACGTAACTCTGGTCAAATTTGCAGATCATTTGGACAGATTTGAAATTATTTGACTTCAAAGCTGACCAAATGATCTGCAAATTTGACCAGAGTTACGGTTTATGGGGGTTTTCAAATTCCACAAATCCGCTGTAATGTGATGCATATCGTGATTAGGGTTGGCATTACATAAATTACAGTTTTCGTTACATGAAATTACATTGTAACTTACGAAATTGTAATGTAACTTTATATTAAATAGTGCATTGTCACATGATAATTGCACCAGCGTTAAATAAGTTTTGCCGGCATTAATAGTATCCGTCATTATGTTCGGAACTGTAATTTTATACTTTCTTTAATGCCAGATTTATAAAAGTTTTGGCCAAAATTATTCGCATGATCAAAATTACATGTAATTTTGATTTCTGAAATTTACACCGATTTACGTAGAATTACGTAAAATTACGGTAATTTGCCAACCCTAGCTATGATTTATTAGTAAAATTATGAGTAATTCCGGCCTAATTTTTTGATCGTCGCTATTAGCCAATCAAAATCGAGAATCTGCCGGTCCAAATTTGTTGCGGCAGCTATGGTTAATGGCCGATGATTTTCTGCGGTGATAAATCGCAAATTCCGTCCGTGACAAAATCAAATTCTGCAAAAATTCTGTGCATTTGGTTGTAATAGAAACTTCGAATGTTCTGCAATAAGTTGTTTATTTAATTTCGGATATCAGGCAAATTCGACCATGCTCGTATTTTAGGTTCATTTATTTTCTACACTGGAAATTTTCGGAAGCTATATTTTTAGCTTTTTAGCATCATGCTGCGACAATTCCGTGCTATCCTTGACGCATTCCGTGATTTCTGCGGCATTCCGTGAAATGCAAAAAATCATCGGCCCTGCATCAGGTAGTCAATGCCTCTACAGCTGTAATAGCGAAGAAAAGATGCTTAGCGTGAAATTAATGTGAGCAGTTTAGCCTAATCCAACTCGATATTAAAAAATCGGCTTAGTCTGCTAATAACGATAAAATTGATCAAGGAATGATTTGATTAGCCAAATCGATCAAAGAATTTCAATGAGCAAGTAAACGATTCTTGAAATAAATTTTATCCAAAAATTCGCTGTAAGTGGATTTTAAATCACAGAATTCCAATCCATTTATAGCATACTGAGAATGTAAATACTTAACAATAACTACACACTTAAAGTACGAGTTTATATTTTTGATGCGTTAAAAATTCCAACTTTGATGTAAAATAAAGCTACGCATTAACCTAGTATTTATTTTAATAAAAAATAAACTAATTTTCCAAAGACCTTTATATAATGTATAAGCAAGCACATGTATTTATTATTTACAATTTATAATTCTTCAAATCAGTGATAGAAGTGGTTGAATACCTCAATAGATTTTTGTCTAAAATAAAATAAAATAAACATTTTAAAGTTGGTTTTTAAATTTCAAATGGACCACATAGCCCTTAAGTATCTTAATCTACATAAAACTTAGCTTTCGAAAATCGGGATCTAATGCATGTGCCGATAATTTCGGATGTTCATCAAGTATTAAATAAGTAAAACCAACTCATTTATTTAGTAATACTTGTATCTTAATCCGTATTATAACAAAATTATTACAAAACCTTGTATCTTAATCATATATTTACAAATGTTCGTCACAAGACGAAGTAGGGTAGCTTACAATTATTTACGATTATGTTTTTTTAGAGGAACCACCGAAACTTGTTGTTGTAAAACGACAGGTTCAATGCCTTGGGACATACATGCCGCTTCATATGCTTTAGGAACCTCCTTTTTCATTGTAGGTGACATCGTCTTATCTCTTAATTTTGCCAAGTCCGTTTGTTCATCCCCAATAAGGATAACTTTAGTTTCCGGAACCCATTTCCTAAACGAGAAATTTCTTAGCAAAAATATTAAGAAATAATAAACATCATCAATAACATAATGTACTAACCAACTGCGTCCAGACTTCTTCTTTTCTTTTTTCTCATCAAAAAAGTGCACCAAATAATGATCACCTTCTTTTTTGTCTGATCTGATCGCCTCAGTAACTTCAGGTCCATTTGGATCTGCAACCTATATTCAATCGTAGGTGAATCTTATTTGTCAAACAAAACTTGGAAGAGTAATGTAGTATTAATACCTCAGCTGGATACCAAGGGAAGCCTTGCATTTTTGCCCAGACCAAGCTACCGTAAGGAACGTTCGACAGCTCGCCTGAAGTTGTAGAACGATTTGACTGTACTATTTCTGAGTTAGACTCTACCGCAGATGAATGACCTTTTTTTATAGAATCGTTTTGAATTAAATCTTCGTTCTTCTTTTGACTTCGAGCTCGAGTACGAGTGGCTATCAACAAGTATTCAGTAATAAATCGATAAATTTAGTCATGATAATCTGCTCAGTGCAGTCAATTAATAATACAAGAGATTCATACCTACCAGCTGGCTTCTCTGCTTCTTCCTTTGCCTTTAATAGTTGTAATTGTATTTGTTCCTTTAATGCTTTCACTTCAGTTGTTTCATTTGTTGAATTGTCAGGTGTCATATCTACTATTTCGGAATTATCTGCACGCTCTGCTTTTGTAGATTTCTCTATTTTCCGTTTTGTTCCTCTTGTAGGTCTTTCTATCTGTGACTTGCTTAATTTTGTTGTTGACTCTCCTTTTTCATTCTCTACTTTTAACGGGTTTGTTGAACCGTCTTTTCGAGACCTAGTTCGAGAGGAAATTGTGGCTTTATCTTCGTCAAAATCAAAAGGATTTTGATTTGAATTTTCTACAACAATTGGTGTATGTTCTTCCTTTTCCTCTCCTTCTTCTTCATCAGTTAAATATACCCATCCTTTAGGAGCTCTGGGTTTTCGATTTATAACAGCATTTGTATTTGATTTTTTCTTGTCTTTGGCATTTTTTTTTCGATTTGTAGATCTTGTTTCTCGATTTTTTAATAGGTGACGAGATAAAACATCATGATTTTGATGTTTCGAATTAACTATGCGATTTGAGCGAGAAGTAGATTTGACTTCTTTTTCGAATTTAAGTGGTTTATCATTATATGTAAATATTTCCGGATGAATCTCAACATTCAGAATTCCTTTAGAAGGATCTATCTGCAACTCAGTATAATCTTTCTCCATTTGTGCAGCTATTGTCTGGAATTGCTGACGTATTTTTTTAGCAACTCTATAATAAATAGTATTAGACGTATTATAGGTCATAGCATTCTGGAGAGTCAATTCAACATCATCCTAAGTTAAGGATAAATTGTCATGAATATTCTAACGTTAATACACTTCCGATTAAGTTATAAAATAGCCTTTGTTACCTTGAATCCTTGCATGCCGGACCCGAGACTATATTCATGATTTTCAATTTTTTTCCGAATCGTTCCAAAATCCATTGGATGCTTAATGTGTGTAAGATAATCTGGCACTTCCTCCAACGAGACAGGTTTTGCAAAGATTTCATTTTTATCCAAACTATTTAATAATAAATAAATGTAAATTCGTAATAAATATTAAAAGGTAATGACATATGAAACCCAATAGATACCTTGAAATAGTGTTCAAAACCGGTCCAATAATATAGTCGAGCGGGAAAATTATGGTTTCCAAGTATTTAACTTGCAATCTATTCCGCTTCAACTTTTCTTTCTCACGTCTGTGTACCAAATCGATCAGCATCCTCACTTTTTCCAAATCTTTACGAAGATCCAGCATAGCCTAAAAAATATTTATTTCTAATAAATATCTTGAAAGATAATTACAATAATGAATAAACTGATATATACCGCATATTTAGCCATCTTTTCTTCCTCTGATTGCTTGTGAGCCGATGCAGATGCAGTCCACGGCTATAAAATTAAAAAATATCACTAGTTTGTAATTTAACTATGAAGTTATATACATATTGTTCCTTTCCTTACCTCAAGATGGAGACGCTTTAACAATGGAGCTCCACGTCTAGATTCTCTTTTCAATGACCAATACTTACATATAGTAGCAATTAGCTCTTGTTTCTTTCTAAGCTGTCCTTTATGCATTGACAAAACAGGTAACAGCCTATCCGTTATAATCGCCGGTGCAACTATGGCCGTCTCCATATAAGAACGATTATATGCACGCGCAGATTTCGAACTCTCGATAGATTTGTTAGATAATCGCTTTTCTGATTCCTGTGGATTGACTTTAATGGTTTTTCGTGGATACGATGCACCATCTGATTCTTTGCGCTTCCGTGTTTTACGAGACACTGATGTGTCAGATCTACTATTTTCACGCAAATCTTTATCATCATCTTCATCATCACTAGGAATATATTCATCTGAATCGTCATCATCATCAACCTCTATCCTACGCTTTTTGGCTACTGGTACGGGATCGATCAAAAGACTCTGTGCTTTAGCAACTGTTTGGGCAACGTCAATTTGTTCTCTATAATCGCGCTAAAAGGAAAAACTATATTAGAAAATTATATAAAAAATCTGAAAATTATGGCAGATAAAAAGTTCGTAATACCGGAGTGTGCTTATCACAATACGCCTTCATTTGATTAGCATCGCTGTTGGGGTCTGGAAATTTCATTCGCATACAAAGTTTCGCTTTTCTTGCACATGTAACGTGAAATGCTGTACAGCAGTGTGTATTTTGACATTGAATACATGCACCCATCTTTTTCTCACAAATATAGCATTTCTTTTGTAAAAGAATTGAGATTAGCTTTTTTTAAAGCCCTTAGTGATAATAAGGCGTGTATAAAATAAGCTCACCAATTTCCATCGACCACGTGGAATTCCCTCTATATTATCAATAGGCTCCATGTATACAGGGTTAGACAACCCGACCTCCGGAATCCATAAAGCGCAAAGTAAATGCGCCCAGCGATTTGTATTTGTTTTTTTGAAAGCACCACCTTCGTTGGGGCAGAATATGCATGACTAAAAGAAAAAAAGGAAAGGAAAAAAAAAGAAAGATCCAATAAGACAATAATAGATATAGTTTTTCATCTACGTTTTGAAATATATACCACTGGAGTTTCTGGTGAGACGATGCATTTGCGACACAACCATTGACCTTCAGGAATATATGGAATACCATAACAATCTACAAAAATAAATTATGTATATTATATGACAATACGTATTTGATAAACTTTTTAATGTTGTATCTAAAAATCAAGTTACCTTGGTGTACAGCAAGGTTGCAGCCGTCACAGAATACTATGGCATTACAATTTTCACATTCACCATCATCACAAATCGCGCATGTGGAGTCTTCTGGATTTTCCTTTTCTCCTTGACCCTTTGGCAAGTTTTTTGTCTAAAATATAAAGTTTTTAAATAAAAATCGGCAACAGTAACAATCAAAAGTTCGAAGCAAAGTGCTCAATACTATCTATAATAAATTTAATATTGTCAGAAATATATCTTTTTCATGATGCTTTAATGAATAAACGCTTAAGTAAAGATATAAATATGTGTAAGTTGTTGATAGTAAGTCAGCCACATGAAGGCATCTCATCATGCCAAACAAAAAATGCCCTATGCTAACGCTTCGAACCATAATAAAATAGCAGGTGATTAACAGACCATTCAATTCATAATTATTAATTACCAGATCAAACCATTCTTTCTCCAAGCGGTCGACCAAAGCTTCAAAAACATCAGCTGTAAGCTCGCCAAGATCTTCTTTCTTTCTTTCTTGATTGAATGCTTTCAACCATAAATCATCTATTTAAAAGTATAAGACATAATAAATAAATATTACATAATAATTTAAATAATTAAATTTTATAAAAGACATTACCTTGTTCATCCATATCATATTCGACTATTTCTACAAGATCTTTTTCGGTCAATTCTTCAAGTTTTACAAAAATTAATGATTATAATCGCAATTTGAAAAGAAAATCCATAGTAGAATGGATTGCACCTACCGACATGACGAATATAGTGACCTTCAGGTCTAACAAATGGTTCTTTTTCGAATTTTTTGCAATTAATACGTCGATAGGAATGTATTGGAGGCTCTTTTGGTATGGATTCAGAGACAGTCTCCATAATAACTAAATTATCTATTGCCACCGTGGCGGTTTCTGAGGTCGCAGGTGTCGAATATTCCAAGTCCATTGGCTCATTTATGATCTCTGTCTGAATATCAATAGCTTGATCGATATCTGAATGCCGATCTTGCTCATCATCTTGAACTGTGTCTTCGTCCATATCCTCGTGTGGTGTAGTTCCCGAACTTGAGTTTTCTTTAATATATGACAAATTATCCTGATGGTCAGATACGATCCCTACTCCCTGCACTAATTTAAACTCATTATATTCATTTGGATTTGGTAAAGCAGCAGTATTTGGCAATTGTGAAAGTCCTTGCGACATTATATGATCATTATTATCAGTAATATCAGAATATGAATGAATAATCTCTAGTTGTTCGTCTAGTTTCAAATCAGGTAAAAATTCGGTGTAAGGGATTTCTTCCCGTGGTGTTTCTTCTTGCTGATAAACTACTCTGGCCGCATTTTCTTTTACAATTCGCATTTGCTCTTTGCCATTATTTTTGTTACGTGACTTATTTGTCTTAACGGATTTATTTGTAACCTTTACTACTTTATTTTTTTGTGTGCGCCTGTTAAATCCCCTAGAGCCATTAGATTTTCTGATGCTTCGACTATTCCTGCTTTTATTGCGTGCTGGCTCTTCCGGATCGATCGAACTCTCTCTAGTAACACTTGTACTTTTAGATATGTCCATTGCTAAGTAATGGAATCAAATTTATTTTAGTTTTTTTCTTTGTCTAATAAAGTTCGATGCAAATTTGCAACCTATTTTGTTGAAACGAGTCAAATCAAGTCGTAACAGTTATGCATTATATAGAATTCTACAAACCTTCGTTCAATAAAAAAAAAAATTGGGCGGTACTTAACACAATAAGAAATAAATATGATCGGCTTGGTACTGTAGATCATGTGATAATTTACTAATCAACATACAGCGCTTCTAAGCGAGACATAATATTTAAGGTTTGATCTAGCCTATAAACGGTTTTTCCTTGTTTATCGTTATGCTCAGTGCGTTGGCTATCTAGCTTACACATTTGGTCTTAAAGTTTTGATGAATAACCTTAGCAAAAACTTATTTCATTGAATAGACTTTGAATCCAAAAGATCTTTCAAACGCTAATTATTATGTATTACAACTAGAGATGCTGGTGAAATTAGTTTTCCAATTTCAAACCAATTTCACCAATTCAATACTATATAGTTTAATGGTAACTAACTGCTAAGCAAACTTAAATCAGATATGAAAGGTATTTTATAACTTCAACATATAGTGCAGTAGTGTATAAAAATCATGATTTATTATCTTACGCATAATAACTTTCCGAATTGAAGACGTCGTTTGGGCTATCATTATTTTTGCATAGAGATCTTGTAAGAACTTTATGTATGTTTTTTTAAATTAATCTGAATAGTTATTTATTTATTCGTTAATAGCATTCGAAGAATATTTTAATTCATCAATGAGCGCTGATTGCGGATATCGAGATATCTAAACATATGGACGGCTGTTGGAATCATTCTTGCTATAGCTACATCTATATAAATCGATAGTTGACTATAAATTTAAAATTTCTCTGGCTTAAGAATCTATATCAATTGTATAAAGAAAAACTTTTTATACGTTATATTACTGTAACAAATAGTTATAAGACTACTTTTAATTTTTAATGCTGTTAGACTATATAAGGGTTTAATTTTATTATTTTTAAAAAGTATATATTTAGAATTTAAATAATATGAGGTTTATTTTATTATATATATATATATATATATATATATATATATAATGAGCTAGGTGCTGCGAAAAGGGACGAAATTGACAATTTTTTCAAAAGATGTTTTTTTGCATAAATCAATTTAAAATAAGATTAGAATCATTTTTCACTTAAGACATAAAAGTTGTAGCTTCTTAAAAGTTACATAAAAATTGATTTTTTTTAAGATCTTTGTTTTTGTCAATTTCGTTCCTTTTTGCAAAAAGGGAGATTAGGTTCATTTTTTACTTGGTTCGGGGCACGGGTAAAAAATTAAGCATGCCTTTTTATATCATGCGACAGAACAACCAGCCAATAATATGTCGATTTGTGTAAAAAATTTTAAGCAAAATACTGAAATATGTATATAGCTTTTACTAAAATTTTAAGCGAAGGTCTAATAACTATTGTATTGTATATACCAAATTTTATTGCATATTTATATTTAACAAAAAAAAAACTCTAATAGCTATTGTATTGTACCAAATTTATTGCATATTTATATTTAACAAAAAAAACTATTTTGAAAAATATCTTCGATAGACCATTCTTCTATCATATTTCTTTTTTTTTTATCACTAATTTGTTCTATAAGCTGATTATCATTAGTCTCTTTGTTAAGTAAAAGCTTTTCTTGATCTTTTTTAAATATCGCAAAATTAAAAAAACTCATCCATAGTTGATATTTCTTCATCAAAACTAACTATTTCAATTTGCTCACTCACCTCTTTATTCAAGAATACATTACTATTTTCTTTGAAAAGTAAGTTAATATTCTCTTCCAATAATTCAGATATGAAGATGGATATTGATTTATCTTTTTTTTCAATAAGATAGTTTTTTTGAGTTTATTTTTAATCTGTTTAAGTTGAGAAAGAATATTAGAAGAAAGACGGTTTCTTGTTTTTGTTTTACTAGACCTAAAAAGAGAATAAAAAATAATTAAAAACATTTTTATCTATGAAGAAGGAAGCATGGTCACTAAACTCTAACTAGAAAGATCTAAGCAATATTTGAAGATTACAATTGATATTTTTAAAAAGAAAGTTATTATTTTTTTAACTATTAACTTTTTATAAAATAAGATAGCATCTGTTTTTTTAAATTTTTAGTTTTCAGATATAAGCTAATTCTAGATATTTATAAAAAATAGTCTATATTTATATACTTTGATAAGATAGAAAGAGAAATAAAGCAATAAAGTAAATAATATTTAAGAACTCTTTTGCTTTTTAGAAGGCTTCTAGAAATTAGCTGATTTGGGGTGGGTAAGTGGATTAGCTGAAGTGTTAAATATAATTTTGGCTGAAATTATCAAGTTTTGGCCAAAATTAAAAAAATTTTTAGCCCAAATTATAAATTTGATATCAAATTTTAATAATAAATAACTTTTGTTCTACTAATCCAATTTTGATGATTTAATCATCAAAATAATTTTTACAAAATAAGAATTTCAACAAGCTCAAAATTATTAAAATCAGTATTGAAATTGGACTTATTCTAATTGGTTTGATTGGAGTTATTAAACAATTAGACAATTTGAACAATTTGGACAATTAGACAATTAAATATAATTTAACTATGTCAAACTTACATATTTAGATTAATAACATTTTTTTTTGATATAGTACTAGAAGTTTATACTCAACAGTTATACAAAGTATTTCAATTTTTTAAATGGTTATAACTTTTTATTTAAGAGGTTTAAAAAAATTCTGACTAGTAACTTTATAAAGCTATATTAGCTCTACATATGTGCCAAATATCTTTTCAAAATCTTATCACTATAATAAGTTAAAGCAATTTGAAAATTGAAATTTTATATATAAATTTATAAATTTACATATAAAATTTCAATTTTCAAATTGCTTCAATACTTTACAGTGATAAAATTTTAAAAAAATATTTGGCACATATGTAGAGCTAATGTAGCTCTATAAAGTTACTAGTCAGAATTTTTTTAAATCTCTTAGATAAAAAGTTATAGCTATTTAAAAAATTGAAACACTTTGTATAACTATAAAATATAGACTTTTAGCACTATATAAAATTGCCAGTTTGTAGTATCTTTTAATAGAAGTTAATAATATTACATTTGTATTACAAATTTTATATTTGATACATCTGTAAATTCTCTCTAGTAAGGCTAATCGCTATACCTTGTGCTGCTAAGTATTACTACCAGACCATCCAAGTTTAATAACTGTCTACTATTTTCTTATTAAACATGTCTTAAACGACAGTTATTTTGCTATATTAGTATCATGTCTAACAGAAGGGCATAGTGAAGTCCCCTAATTCCTTCTATATTCTACACAGTTTCAGATTAGATATTCAGAAATATCTCTCTGGTTTACCTGGGCTTAGTGCCTGTTTATCTAAGCTGAATCCTGTTACTCTCTGTCTACTCAGTTATCTGAGTTTTTGTAAGTTTACTAGAATGAATTCTGTCACCTCCTGTTTAACTCAAGTACCTAAGTTTTGTGAGTTTACTAGAACCAATTTTAGTTATCTAAAGATGTTATAGTCTATCTTAGTTCGGTTTTGGTCTCAAAGACTAGTCTTACCAGAAGACTATAGACTGGACCATGGTTCAGAACCAGTTCATAAACTGGTTCATAAATCAGTTTATTGGCTGGTTTCAAAAATAAGTTGTGGTTTTAATGATTACTATATAAATAGACCTTATAGTTATCATCTTAAATCCTAGAACAATTAAAAAATTGCCAATGCCTAGTAATACAGTAGATGATTTGTCGTAACTAGTTGTAATATAGGTTTTTAGTTAGTTACGGCTTAAGCTATAATGTAATTGAAATGATTCTATTGCATCACTACAATGATTGAATTAACAAGTTACTAATCAAAAATTTATAAGTTATTAAATTAGGCTAATATTAGAAACTTATAGATATAGTCATTATATATATATTTAGCCAATAAGGTTATTTTATAAACTTTAATCTAGTCCAGACTAGTTCTTAATTCAGAACCAAAAACTGGTTAAACTGGATCAAAAGACTAGTTCAAACCATAGTCTTTGTAGAACCATAACATCTTATAGTCATCAAATTATCTACCTATTTATCTAGACTTTATTTCCTGTTTTTGATAGATTCATACAACTCCAGTACTCATATTTAGACTTATTTCTTTTCTGAATTCTTTATTGGTCTATCCCTTGCTTCTAGCCAACAACCCAGAAGAGTTAGTCTATCTAGACTTTAGGTGCCTTATGGTTGCCTTTCTCTTGGTATATACTTTTAAAGTATATATTCTTTTTCTCTAGCATATCTACTTGGCAGTTTGGCTAATATGTCCAGATTGGTTGCTTGGTTCTCCGATCTTAGTTCTTGGTTCCAAATTTGGTCTTTTTGTAACACCATTAAAGATTATACTATTTTCTAACTTGGGACTTTTCAAATGGGTTTTCAATACTTCTAGTTCTTTGGATTTATTATATCAAAGCTTTTATTTCTAGATAGTGTAACCAAGATTACAGATTGATCTAGATCCAACTGTTGATAACCGTTACCTGTATACAGATTTATTTTTTCAAAATTGTCACTAGTGAGATTCAAACTCTAGATCTGCTGCTTAGAGAAAGTGATAACTAGACTACTACACTAAATCACTACATCTCTAATTAATGATATTTAATTAGCTAATTAAATTTATTTATTTATTTATTTTTTTTATTCTTTGATAGGTCTTGTTGTGACTCGAACTCTTAGTTTGTAGTATATATAAACTATATATATAATTTCTAAGACTAAATAAAAGC